ATAACACCCGAAAAGCCCAAACAACAAAAAAAGACCAGACAACAAAAAAAAGAAACACTCTTACCCTCCCAAATAATGCTGAATATTAGGGGAAAGTACTCCTATTATTATGGGTTTAGTGGGGAACCTAGGGTTTTCACATCCGGAATTTAGATTTTTGGGAAGGCCTTATCTGCCAATAGCCGATCATCAGACAACAACAATGCTCGGAGGGGTTTGTAGGAGCACAAGATGTCAGGCGGCGTGGCGCAATGGCTTGAGGGTTTAGCTCCTGAAGCTTTGGATGATCACACCTCATGAAAGTGCCGCCGGAAATTGAACATGATAAGCTAAGTGTAGCAAGCGTTCCAGGGATCTATGCAAGGTATGTTCAGGTACCGAGTATACCTCACTGTGCAGAGCTGGGCCACAAGCATACTCACTATCCAGCCCACAGGCGTGTCCAGGCCTACGTATGCCCATACAAACAGGTTCCCGTTTAGCATTAACTTGTTCACAAATTCTGTTGCTCAGAACTAACTGGTGCTAGAACGATAAATTTGCGCTCTGAGCAGAGGCTGAGGAGGTTCGCCCCGACAACATGGGATTCCAAGGGTTAGGAGCGTCACCATCGGGTGTTTGATGATACAAAAGCTGAAGCTTTAGCCAACTGACAAACTGCAGGGGAACAAGAGGTTTTCTGATGAGCATGAAGTCGGGTCCGAACACAGCAGGTATCTTCAACGCTCCCACGAGTGGCACATGTTAATGGGTAACAGGTTGGCTTTTCCTGGCCTTGTGGTGGGTAGCAAACTTTAACTGCCACCTTTGCTGAGCGACTTTCCGCTCCTCACGAAATCCTGGAACCTCAATTAAGTCTTGGTATGTACACACCTGTTTAAACAGGACAATCCCTTTTTTGCAGGAAGCAGCAAAAGGGAAATTTTGGAGAAACCTGGAGAAGCCCTAACCTGAATCCTAACTCCTATGAAGAGCCCTTCTCTCTCTTGAAAAAGGACACAGAATCTGGTGCCTTAAAGCTAGAACACCCACAACATTCCCCGTTAAAGAATTTATGGGACAAACCAGGGGATAGTGCAGGGGAGTGGATCGGGAACCCGTAGTGCTTGGCTATTGTGACAGTGCCTGTAGATGTTGTCATTTTTTAGTTTACGTATTTTGTTTTTGCCATAACTAGTCTTACCATGTTTTTTTTGTAATGACTATGCCTAATACGAACAGTTTCCATGTTCTTTTCCATTATCCCTATATAACCCCCATATAAACCCTATTTTATTATAGTAGTTTCCATTTTCTTTTCCATTATCCCTATACAACCCCCATATAATCCCTATTTTATTATATCAGTTTCCATTTTCTTTTCCATTATCCACAGGATAGGTAGTTGCAGGCAACTTCTGGGCGCCAACTCCACGTTCGTGGCTGGGACCCATTTCGCAGGAGCTCATATGAGTAGTATTTTATCTGGGGATACTATGGTACCCACTATA